CTGCACGCCTTTGACATAACTGGCAGCACAGCGAGAGGTCAAAAATGGGTCCTGGCAGCCGGCAGCAACAGTGTGACCCAAAATGTGTGATGAAAAAAGCTTTATATTATATTATATAACAAAGTGTGTCTCAATAGGTGTTTAACAAAGTCCATGCATTAGCCATGCCTTTGACGGCTATTTTCACCACTCTGGCACATGTGTCGGACAGATGAATCCTCATCCCTGCAACGGCGCAAAGATCCCAACCCAACCGTTCCTAACCCAAATCCTACCCCAAATGACACAATAGGCAAACACCCTAGCCATCCTCGGAAAAGCATTCGAAGTGCCGGCCAGTGATAGGAGACCTGCACCAGCAAGGGTAGGCTGCTATCCACGTGCCCGGCGGAGCGTTGTCTAAAAGAGATCCCCATACGCATACGAGACATATCGTACAATAACTTGATTCTCATTCTGCGACCGTGATGGGTGGCTTCTTTGAGATCTAGTCAAGAGCAATTCAAAATAGGCCAAAGGGGACACATGCCCGATCGGTGTCGAGAGTGTCCCGATCGGCGGACGTAGCCGTAACACCCATGGTCGTTCCCCTGCCTATGAATATTCACGGTTGGGCCGAGGAGAACATTGGCACCACGAGCGGCGCATTCCTGGCCCAAGATCTCACCAATCTGGAAGAGGATCTCCTCGAGTGTGAAATTGGATCTGGGTACCGATCATCTTTCAATTGCTTGCCCAGACCTGTGGAAATGACACTAATGAAAAATGATGTAGGAACTAGAATCCTGAAGCCTTTCTTAGATCATCTTAGATCTATGATGGTTCATGACGTGCAGTAAAACTATATAGACTAGTACTAGTAGTGTGTTGTTGTCAAACAAGCTGGAGGACAATGGAGGACATGTGAATTCCTCATCAAAGGTGGCAGCTAGGGCGCTCAAACACCTTAGCAAATGGGAGGCAAATCCATGCGTCGTAAACATATATAGGCTGATACAATATTGCCGCACAATGAATCAACCAGGCATATCTAAATGTACCGTATTCTGGAGCTATAAACGGTGCCTGAACGCTTGCCTGAGGGTCCAAGTTGGTGTTTTGTTGAATGCATATGAATGCACTGTCCATTGGACTGGCTTGAAGAAGCAAGGTTGTCATTTACGACAAAGTCGAGAGACCTATGTCTGCACCTCTTCACGTGTTTGGTGTTGCATGTTTGGAATAGAGGCGTGGCGGCGTGACACAACAGACACAGTTCTTGTGATCTGTGCAACAGCGTCTAAAATCACTGTAACAAGGTACAAAAAAACCATCGGAAAAGAAACACTTTCTGTTCACTCATATTCTTCGTATTAACTTCGTATCTCATATCTTTCCCAAGTCTTTCCCTTTTCACATTCTTCGTTCGCCTCTTTCGGCTGAGTCTCGGTGCAAGTGCCGCACCCTTGTCGCCGTGGAGGCCGTACCCACGGGCTCCATGCGGGCCATCCGAGAAGCGCAGTCGCGGAAGCTTCAGGCGGGGAACGCCACCAGCCTGCCATAGCAAGACTAAAATGGGAAGTCCTAAGAGATAGCAAGCATCTTCATAATCTTGATAGCATTAAGAAGCCAGATTATATATATGTATAGATCTATCCAATCCTGCAATTCAGTCCTTAACACGGACATGGACCTCAAATGACCACGAGTGCACAAAACCGGGTCAAGGCATCCTGATGTGAAGCGAGCATCCCACAAGCCTCCCACATAGTCTTCCCGGTCAATATGTCCACCTGACAAAATTGAGTGGAGATGAGGGGAGGAGTCGACTCACTGAAGATCCCACTGGCCTTCTCTTCCAAAGTAAGCTTTCGAAGCAACTCTTCCACTTCATGATGATGAATCAAAGCTTCCTGCAAAAGCTTCATGTCACAAATTACCCCCAATCCTGCGGTCATGCGAGCCTTACAGGCACTTAAGCACAAAATACTCATGCAACATGCAAGTCCTTCAATATCACCTCTTTGCAAAACGATATTCTAATCAGGCCTCCAGTTATGCCTATGTTCTCTACCGTGGAAGGAGTGCAATAACAATCCATAACCCAAGTCTCGGATTGGCATCAAGGCATTCAATGAACACGAAATGACTTGGCTCTCTAGAGTGAGTGGTGAATTGTTTGTGTTTATAAAAACCCAGCACAAATGACTTGGGCTCCTAGAGAAACACTGTGAGACCCCGAAACATGTAATTTTGATTGACTCATGGAAAAACAACTCCCTGAACTTCTGAACCCTTTATATAATTACGGAAGACCACTGCCAAAGAAACGGTGCAGCATCGGTTCCATACAGGCCTTTGTCGCGTAGGCACAAAAAGGCAAAATGGATCCCGAGCATTTGATGATCAACCCAAGACACGATGTTTGACAAATGGAGTTAGGGAAATGTGAGCATCATCTGACCATGTGGTCTTTGCTCCAGCTCAGCAAAAGCACGGTGGGTTTTTCTCACCCTTTGCTGAACCATCAGACTTGGAATTGAAGCTCAGTGCCTTCTATCATATGCAACATGAGGCCGGTCATTCCCAATGTAATGTGAAGCACATTTCTAGTTCCAAGCTTCCAAATCACAATCGCAAATAACTGAACTCCGACAGACCAACCCATTGAATGTCCCATGTTTGTTGGCAAACAAATCATGTCCACGCCATACCATTGCCACATTATACATCGAGTGACCAAAAGTGCTGGCCTGTGGATAATACTCCACCCAACCGCCAAGGTCACATAATTGCTGTCGACCTCAATCTTCATCTGCGCATAAGAAAAAACAAACAAATTACACCAGCATAGACCCAGATAGCTAGGCAGAATCCCACGACCTGTTGACACGCGACTGGCTGGAACAAGAATGTACGCAGCTTGCGCAGCCAGCTTATGGCACCTCCACAGTGCGCACAATCAGCTGACACCAGCACCGGTGCGAAAGCGCGCACAGCCAGCTCATTGTCGATTGAAATAATAAGAACCCCATAGCTGTCGCTACCCCAGCACCGGCACCCGGCACCCTATCTCCACCACGCGCACAGCCAGCACCCAGCACCAGCACCGGCACCCTGTCTCCACCACGTGCACAGCCAGCTCACAGCACCAGCACCGGCACCCGGCATCCAGCACCGGCACCCTGTCTCCACCACGTGCACAGCCCGCGCAGGCAGCTCATCAGTTATTTGAAGTGAGAACCCCACAGCTTCGCTATCTGGGAAAAAGATCCGAAAATAGACCCCCTCACATATGCAAGCTACACCACCAGCAGCAACCTGTCTCCACCACGTGCACAGCCAGGCTCACAGCACCAGCACCAGCACCGGCACCCAGCACCCAGCACCCACACCGGCACCAGCAACCTGTCTCCACCGCATCCACAGCCAGCTCACAGCACCAGCACCAGCACCGGCACCGGCACCCGGCACCCAGCACCAGCACCAGCAACCTGTCTCCACCACGTGCACAGCCAGCTCACAGCACCAGCACCAGCACTGGCACCCAGCACCAGCAACCTGTCTCCACTACGTGCAGCTCACAGCACCAGCACCAGCACCAGCACCGGCACCCAGCACCAGCAACCTGTCTCGAAAGCGCGCACGGGCAACTCATTGTTATTTGAAGTAAGAACCCCATAGCTTCGCTATCTGGGGAAATAGAGCCCACCAACCGGAATCGGCCAAACATTGTTTGACACTCTTATTGAAACCTATAGCCAGTCCATCAAAAAAACGCTCCCCAAAACCAGCGTTGCATCACTCTTCGTGTCCCCCAAAACCAGCTTCTGTCCCCCGAAAGCTGCGCACTCCACTCTTTCGTGAAGCAGGTCAGGGCCACCCGACAGCCCCATGCCCAAGGGCATCATGCAACCTACTAGTGATGGCATCCAGCCTAATAGGCCTCCAACCTACTAGCGATGGCCTCCAACCTAGTACCCTTGGGCTTCTATGCAAACATCAAGCGCTTGAGTGCTTCAGGGGATGGTGCCAGCTAGAATCACCAGTGGGCCAAAGGACTATATAACTGCCGTCGCTGATAGGTCCGGTCAAGTGCGCCATTTGGGATGTCTAAATACTCTGTTCTCGGAGGATCCTTGTCCTACCGATTTACCTTGCCTGCGGATACAATCCAAACCTGGAAAATTGGTTGTCACAGCCACAGGCTGTTCCCATCAACCATGATCAGCAAAACTGTCCTCCTCCTGATGCTGTGGAGTTGGGCTTTCAAATGTTTGCAGGTCCATGGCAGTCGAAAATCCATGCACCGCTTTGGTCAACAAAGTTCTGACTTAGATGCTTAGCAAGCGAATTCGGCTTCCAGACATTAGATTCAGACGTGCAAAATGGTCTTCCACCAATGTGCTAGATCATGTGTGATGATGAATTAAGTACTTTCTGAAAGTGTTCTCGGACCTAAGCTGAAATAAGTGGATTGAGTCATGACGAATGACATTCAAGTACCACGACCGGGGCGGCTGTATGCAACAACAAAAGCCGGTGTTTTGCAGAATCAATTGATGCTTTTAAGAGCCAAGTCCTAGCACAACAACATGCAGCCAAAGAACTGGCTAAATGAATCTACCATGCCGTGGATATCCTTTTTAGTGGAATGTCAGCTCTAGGAGGTTGCAATGGAATGCTCATCCAATTTGATAAAGAAGACCGAGAAATTCTTTACAAGAAGACCTGCAAACAACTCATTGTAAGAGCCCAATATCTCCCAACCGGAAGAAGTGGCTTTTGAAATTCCCTAAACTGAAACACAAAAGTGACTGAAACTCAGCATGTTGAACTGTTGAACTTCACCTCCCTTCAAAGTTCATGTGAAACTCCACAGGAAGCATTCACAAGATGTAGTCTCACACAGATAGAAAAAGAGAGAGAAAGAGAGAGAAAGAGAGAGAGAGAGAGAGCGCAAGAGAGCCTGAGAGCTGAGAGCGAGACAAACGGCGAGTATCTTTCCTTCGCTTCCTCGCCTTGCCCTTCCGCCAGTAGGGTTTGAAACCGCGCTCCCGGAACTCCTGCACTCACCAGAAGAAAAAGACTCTGAGGGGCCCTCATGATTGTCATTAAATGAGCAGGCCGTTAAGACGTCAGTCAGTGAGTGCCTGTTGCAAGTAGCAGATCTGCAGAAAATGCATCAAAAACAACTTGTTGGGTACTTCCTTGTCACACTGTATGTACAAGTGTCCTCGTGTTATGTTTATCCGTTTGGACTGTCCTTGTAGCCTGTCTCGGTCTCCTCCACATCCTCTGCTGTCTCATCATAATTGCGTTCAAACCTCATGGTGCCCAAAGTTGAAACACTGCAGAGAAATATTGGAGTCCATCGCTATATTCAATTAGGTCTAAAGAATAGAAACACTGTCTATCACCCTCAGAAGGGCTGCTGTACCCCCGCCCTCACATGTAACGCTACACATTAGTACACATTGGACAGTCTGCCATTTGCATTTGCCGCTGATACTCCACCTGTAAAGACTACCACGGCAAATGCCTTTGATGACACTGGAACCCCAAAGATGTTAGATGCACTTTCTTGCATGTCTCAGTTGCCCTCCCCGGTGTCAAGCTCAAAATGGAAAGCTCTGAATGGTGCAACTCTCCATTGATCAAACGATGTCCAAATGCCGTGGCCCTTTGGGCCGCCTACACTGCCAGCCTCACCCCGCTGCAGTCCTCCCCGCCAAGTCACTTCTCTTGAGTGAGGACATAAAGTTCGTGATCTGCAGACTCCTAGGAGGGAGACCGACAGAAGAGTAAGAGGTTAACCACAGTCAAACAACTTCAGAGAACCTGAGTGATGACCTCTTGAATCACGAAAAAAAACTGTGCTAAGCCTCTACGCCTAAACCTAGCCTCTCAATGCCACCTGACGATTCAGGAGAGGTCTGGTTTGAAAGCAGAAAGGCCATCCAGCTTCAACAAGGTGACTAGCCTAGCAGCTTTCTGGATCGGCATCGAGTGGCACATGGTCATGTAACGTATATAATATATATATATAGAGATAGATAGAGAGAGAGATAGATAGATAGATAGATAGATAGATAGATAGATAGATAGATAGATAGATAGATAGATAGATAGATATTTATATATATATATATACATGGAAGATCATGGAAGGGAGGCTTAGGCTTCGGGGTGCTTGAGAAAGGATAATATGGAGAGAGAGAGAGAGAGAAAGGAAAGACCCACTGATTTTGCGATTGACGTTGAGGACATACTCTTCTGGAGTAGGCGAACAATACAGTAAGTTTATTCAATCTAAAGTTAGGCCATCCGTAGCTGCAACTACAGTGCTGCCTGGAAGAGAACACTGAAGTGTGGCACGCTACGCTGATGTCCCTCCTAACTTGTCAATATTTCGCCCGCACACCACATTGCAAGCCGATTATTTTGTCTCGGCATAGCCATACAGTCCAGCATCGCAAGTCTCCCACCTCCATGCGTCGGTCATACACAACGCAGTGAGCACGGTCCAGGGAACTTTGGCCGGGTTGTTTGCATCTGTTTGCCATGTTTGCAATACGCTCGTTACATTAAAAAAAGAACCCTTTAAAGGGGGGCCATATTAAAGATGCGCTTATAGTACCTTTTCTTTTCTTCTCCTACATTATATGCCTGGGAATGCACAGGACAGCGGAGGAAGCTTTCCAACTCAGTCACGTATGTTCAATGGGTAGACGCAGAACCCGCAAAGTGCCGGTCACTTCTAATTGATTGACACACCATGCGTAGTTCAAAAACAAGTCCTTTGGTGCTACAATGTTATTTACTACTAGCAAGGAGCTACTGCCATCGCTAGTAGGCTGGAGGCCATTACTACTAGTAGCATCTAGTAGCAAGAAGCTACTATTAGTAGCAAGGTGCAACTAATGTCCAAAGTTGTCCTCCCAAGTCCCCGCTCGAGTCATGGCACAACACCAGCACGGCCTGGTGTGGTGGAGCTGCCAAGTTGCAAAGGCCAACTGATCTCGCGCCACCGGCTCTAGGGGCAGGTGGACCTTCGAAACTGTCCAATAAGCTGCCACGGCCATAGGTAGTGTTGAAAAGCAACGTTTACTTTATGCTTTTCCTGAAAGTAAGGATACTCATGGATGTTCACTCCGCTATCTAGCTTGTACTTGCTTGAGATACAGTATGTTGTGAGCACCATGTGTTGTTTCCAAGTCCAATGCCCAAACAAAGTCCACAACACCCCCTCCACTAGGTGTGCAAGCGGCTGAAACCTATCGATACATACATGTATGTATGTATCTATGTATGCATGCATGCATGTATGTACCTGTACGTATATACCTGTACGAACGTAGGTATGTGTATACCTGTATGTAGATACCTGTATGTATATCCTGTATGTATATACCCGTATGTATATACCTGTATGTATATACCTGTATGAATATACCTGTATGTATATACCTGTTTGTATGTATATACGTGCGTACGTACATGTGTACGTATGTACATATGCTCGTATGTACCTATGTTCCTATGCTCGTATGTACGTATGTACGTAGGTACGTATGTAGGTATGTACGAGTATGTATGTCTTCTGTCTGTCTGTCTGTCTGTCTGTCCGTCGGTCGGTCTGTCTGTCTGTCTGTCTGTATCTATGTATGTATGTATGTATGTATGTATGTGTGTGTGTTTACTCTCAGTGGCATGTTGCAGAAGAGAGTGCTTCAGGTGTGATTTGTTTGTCGCATGCTCTAGGGCCTCTAGGGTTTGTCAGTGCGTAATCAGAAGAGTTTCCAATGAGAGACTTCTTTGATGGCAGGCATATCACAAGAACTCCAATGATGAGCTATATGTGATATGTGGGTAAAATATGGTAAAATATATAGCAGCAACCTCAAAAACAAGAACTATGAATTCTGCAGGAGGGTCCTCAAACAAGGAGCGATTGGAATTTGCACATGTTGCTGCAGCTGTTGGTGATCTGAGCCACCTGTATACCTCCAATGCATGTTTTGTTGGTGACAAGGCGCCCAGTGAAAATCAACTCCCCGGGCCGCTCTAAACATCAGCTGTTGTCGATGTGAGAAGCACATTCAACGGTGTACCCTCACAGCCTGTCTTTTCAATATGTGAATGCTCAGGCTTGAATTTCCGTGTGCCTCCATCAGTCTCTCCAAGCAGGCTCCATTTCCAGAAGATCTGCGATCAATATTCAAGAGTTGCTCAGAAGCGTCACGCGTAAAGTGTGGGCCCAAGTCGCAGACCTGGTGAGGGGCTTCGTGACAATCAAGGCTGGCACCCACGGCCCACTTCCAAAAAGGAACGCCCAAGACACAGGGGGAGAGGCTGGTGAGATGTCAATTGGTTTCAGTGTGGCTCGAAGTTCAAGAATGGCATGCAGTGCACCATTTGGAGATGCGCCCCAGTCTGGATGTCCCTTGCAACTGCTCCATGTGTCAAACAAACTCAAACAACCTCTACAGGTGTCTGAGTCACGGGCATTCTCTCTCCAGGCCTCAATATTCACCGCTTTATTTCGGATTGATGTGTCCTGAATTGACTTGGCATGACTTACATGCACTTGAGTTAGACCATCATCAAAGCATTTGTCTAGGTAAGATCCTCGTCCAATTGCTCTCCGGAAGCCTTGAAGGAGCTTGAGCCTTGATCCTGTAATCTCCAGTACTGAGCGGATGGGCCACACCAAAGTCTCGAAGACGACGGTGATTCTGTGATGCCAAGGACTGTACCAAAGGCCTAGGTCACACGACTTGAAACACATTGGATATTATGCATAAGTGTCGATAAAAATCTAGAAACAAAATCATTAGTGCGAGCGCTTCTTCAAGGAAGCTTCCCCCGCCGCCTTTAGGGTGGCCGGGGGGCTTCCTTGAAGAAGCGCGAGCTATCCAGTGTCCATACTAGTAGCCTAAGTATGGTACTAGCTACCTCTCCCTTAATTTAGCAGGGAGGGGGGAAGCGGGCTCTAAATAAAACTATGTTCTATCGGATTGGTCCAGAAAACATTGAACCTTCGTCCCGATTTGGTCAAGTCAAGCGTTGAAGCGCACTGAGGATGGTGCTGCAACAGCTTCCGAGTCACCTGCAATACGCAAGGTGAGCCGCTACTACCTACTAAGCAGTCCGAAGAATTATCTACAGTATGAGATTTGTCTTGTCTCTTCCCTAACAGATTTGGCTTGAGAAGTTACACGCTTTGCCTGGCCTTTCCTTCTGCCACCAAATCTTGCCCGCGCTGAGCGTTGAGGAGTAGCAAGGATTGAGCCTTGCAACAAGGTGGGGAAATAAGACCCTTGCAAGCATTGCTATCAATAAACCTAAGAAAACTGTATGCTCTTCATGTGACTGGCGTCAAGAAGTTGGTGATTGTCACTTGATCTTGAGTAGCAACCTGAATAGTACAAATAGTGCAATATTCTTCGAACCAGCAAAGTAAGCCAAGCCAAGCTCTAAACATTTATGCCACGCTCCAATCACCAGGGCCTTTAGGCGCGGCTGCTGTTGGCTTTTAGACAATGCCATAGAGGCCGTGTTTTGCACAATGACCTTGGGTTCTTGCTGCGCCATTCTTGCTTGCTCAGTGCTCACACTAAGGGATCGTTCTTATCTGGCTGATGTTCCACAACTCGAATTTGCTCCACAGCTCCGCTTTCTCGTAGGAACAAGAAACTTACTAGTAACAAGGGCATCGCTACCAGGAGCAAGGACGCTATTAGGGGCTCCTGGCATCGCTACTAGGAGCAAGGACGCTACTAGGGGCTAGGATACTAGGGGCTTCCAGGGACTCCAAGTGCAACAGCTCTGCGGAAGAGTCACATCTGGTGTGATGCCCGCAGACAGCATCTCCTGTGAGCAGCTGCGTGGACCCAGGCTTCGTTCAGTTCCAAGTCATCGTTGTCAATTGAACAGCAACATCTCAATTAATCAAATACAGCACAGAAGGTGAGCACTAATCGGCTTATTAAGAAAACAAATCCGCCGACCCCACACCGTGGGGTGAGGCGTGACTGTCGATGTTAGCCTTAGCCTTAAGCCTTAGCCTTAGCCTTAGCCTTGGACCTTAGACCTAGTCCTTAGCCTTAGACCTAGACCTTACCTCCCCTACCCCTCCGGACCCTTGTTGGAGTGACGAAATCCGGTCGAATTTCGCCAGGAAAGCGACCTGGATTGTCCAAGAATCTGCCATCCCAATTGATTTACATCTTGGGGCACCCTCTCGACCCGCGCGGGAAAATAAGCACGGTCCAAAATGGTCCTGGGCTCGAATCCCGGGCTGGTCGCGGCATGGTCCCGGCCAATGCCCTTGCTTTTTCAGCATCACGGGGTTCATGCAAGCGATGACGTCCGAAGGTAAACCTGCTTTGGTGATGCTGTGGTGGTGATGGGTCTGAACTCTAAGGCAACGATATCCGTTATGGGGAGAAGGGATGAGCATCACGGGGTTCATGCAAGCGACGACGTCCGATGTTAGCCTTAGCCTTAAGCCTTAGCCTTAGCCTTAGGCCTTATCCTTAGCCTCAGACCTAGTCCTTAGCCTTAGACCTAGACCTAGACCTTACCTCCCCTACCCCTCCGGACCCTTGTTGGAGTTACGAAATTGTGCCCTGAAAGCTACCTGAGCGACCCGGGAATTGTCCAAGATTCTGCCATCCCAATTGATTTACATCTTGGGGCACCCTCTCGACCCGCGCGGGAAAATAAGCACGGTCCAAAATGGTCCTGGGCTCAAATCCCGGGCTGGTCGCGGCATG